GCGGTGCGGCTGTGCGGGAGGAGCAGGGCCGCCTCGCTGGGTCGCTGCTCGGTGCCTGAGGGCCACTTTCCGGGCCACCTGGTGGACGTCGGCGGAACTGGGACCTTGTCCCAGAGCTACCAGTATGAGGTGTGTCTGAGGGGAGGCTCTGGGACCAGCGAGTTCAAGTTTCTCAAACCAGTTATCCCCAATCTCTCCTTCCAGGGCACAGGGAGGGAAGTGGAAGAAAATCCCTCCTTTCGGAATAGCTTTGTGATGTAATTAATGATAGGAACCTGTTTAATAAACACATTTCCTTCTAATATTTTTTTGTTGAATAATTTTTTTGTCCACCACCACCAATAAGGTGCTATTTACTTTTCTCTATTTGATTCATCCTCAATTTCCAATTTTATGCTTAACTTCACAATTTTCCTTTTCTTCACATTTTAGCCCACTGAAGTATTTCTTACTAGAATGCCAGAGTGAAATAAGCTTGATCTTCAAAGTTGATATTTTTTAAATTAAAAAATTTTTTTTCCAATTTATAAATCTCTTTACTTTGTAGTTACATTTTTTCATTTTAGTTCTTTTTGGTAGAAATTCTTCAATAATTAAAATAATCTGCATGTGATCTGTATATTCACTGTTTGATATTTCTTCCATTTTCCTTTCAAAACTGATATTTTTGTTGGTTTGTCAACCTTCATTTTCATTACAGCAGTTTTCTTAAACTATGTTACTTTTTTAAAAGTTCTCTTTCCCTGTAATGGTATCTGCCTGTTTAAAATATAATATTTCTGTTGTATGATATGATAAAATAAACCTCTAATCATCCTTATCTGAAAATAAGAGGAAACATTATTGTAAGATATTGAGTGCGTGTATATGTGTTTAAGTTTGGAGACAAAAAAGCAAAGTTTAGTCATTCTGTAGTATGTAGAAATATTTAATAATTTGTTGCTTTTAATTCTGGATGAAAAAATCAGAAGTCCCTATTAAGTTTTTAATGGCTAACAATGCAATCCTGTTCAGTTGAAAAAACAATAGAAGTCATCAAGCAGAGGTTCATATGGTGTGGCTTTTATATTCAACAATTAGAGTGTTTTGGTAGTATCTAGCCATTTCCCTGTACAATATCCATCAATCTAATCTGTATCCCTTGCTTATTATGGAAAAAGTAGAGCTCCTTTCTAGATATTAGGCCTTTGAATAAAATTCTATATGAGGCAGATGTTATAATGCCGTTCTTATTTTCAGCAGTGTTAGCATAGGCTTTAGTGTGGTCCGTTCTTTTTCTCCCTTCATTTGGTGCAGAGAAATTAGATCCCATTCAAATTAATTGAGGGAACTTACAATGAAGGTCAGTCCTTTCTTTAATTCTGCAAGTAATTTTAAAGCTAATATAAGAAAAACAAAGACATATTAAAGAAAAGGAACAGAAATTGCATAGAATGACTAAATGAAAAAATATGATTTTCAGGGGCCGGCCCAGTGGCATAGTGGTTAAGTGCGAGCACTCTGCTGTGGCGGCCGGGGAGTTAGCAGGTTCAGATCCTGGTGGAGCACCTACGCACCACTTGTCAAGCCATGCTATGGTGGCGTCTCATAGGAAGTAGAGGAAGATGGGCACGGATGTTAGCCCAGAGCCAATCTTCCTCAGCAAAAAGAGGAGGATTGGCATTGGATGTTAGCTCAGTGCTGATCTTCCTCACAAAAAAAAAATGCGATTTTCAGAGGGTAAGGATTTAAAGGCACTGAAAATTTTTTCATATTCTACTCACTAGAGCTTATTTGTGCATGTCTTAATACAGCAAGCATTTAGTGAGTGTCTGATTTGCCAACCAAAGATAACTAAGACATTGTTTCTGTCCTTAAGTAGGTCACATATTGAAGAAAGGACAGATTGGCATGAAACAGGAAGCAATAATATTTACAGTGCAATTATACAAGCTTTTATGGAAAAACAGAGGAGGGACAGCCTAAATGCTTCTTTCTGGATTATACAGTGATGATTCTATTTAGGCAACATAATTAGATTTTGAGGAAATGTGTCAAAGAAGGTGTGAAACAAGTTACTTTTGTCAGTTTTTGGTGTTCCTATGCCCAATGTTTCTGGAAAAGTCAAGTCTATTATTTTGGTGGTCTCAGAGGTCACTACGTTTTCCCTTGGGTTCCTGACATTGTATGGAGTAGTCTCAGGTGTGAAAGGCCTAGTACAGAACTAAATCTAGCCCAACGATGTGGACAGAGTTAACTGCTAGAAACATCTTTTCCCAACTGTTGAATTTTTAACTTTCCCCATGAAACAGTGAAAAATTTCAACAATGTGTACAGTTCTCTAGCTCCACATTATTTTTTTTTACAAAACAAACAAAAGAAAAGACAAATGAAATATTTAAATGAGCCACTAAAGAACAAATTTATAAATAGATACACATTCACAAATTGGATACAACAATTTGAGTCTGCTGGAGGCCACGCGGTGGCGCTGCAGGCTAAAGAGACCGGGTTAAAAACTGAACTGAGAATACTGCGGATGTCACTAACAAAAAAGGAAGATCGAGCGGCAGGTAGGCTGGGAGAAAAGCTGTAGCGGCCCAAGATTGGGAAGGAAAAAAATCCAGACGCCTGCTACTAAATATCGTAGGTCTTGGATTTTCTTCTGCTGTTTCTTTACACTGGGATCTGCGATTGTGACCAATATTGAGGAAAGACGTGTTCAGAGGAAGCTATGGAGGCTGGAGGGTTGTGCTTCCCAAGACAAAGGCAAGTCCTGTTTCTCTTTCTGTTTTGGGGAGTATCCTCGGCAGGTTCTGGGTTTGGACGGTACTCGGTGATGGAGGAAACAGAGAGAGGATCGTTTGTGGTCAATCTGGCAAAGGATCTGGGGCTAGGGGACCAGGAGCTGGTTGCAAGGGGAGCCCGGGTGGTCTCTGATGATAACAAACAACACTTGCTCCTGGATTCTCAGACTGGGAATTTGCTCACAAATGAGAAACTGGACCGAGAGAAGCTGTGTGGCCCTACAGAGCCCTGTATGCTGTATTTCCAAATTTTAATGGATAACCCCTTTCAGATTTACCGGGCTGAGCTGAGGGTGAGAGACATAAATGATCATTCACCAGTGTTTCGGAACAAAGAGATGGTCTTAAAAATACTAGAAAATACAGCTGAAGGGACAGCATTTCGACTAGAAAGAGCACAGGATGCAGATAGAGGACTTAATGGTATCCAAAACTACACCATCAACCCCAACTCTTTTTTCCATATTAAAATTAGTGACAACGATGAAGGCGTGATATATCCAGAGCTAATGTTGGACAAGGCGCTGGATCGGGAGAAGCAGCAAGAGCTCAGGTTAACACTCACTGCACTGGATGGCGGGTCTCCACCCAGATCTGGGACTGCCACTATACACATTGTGATCCTGGACATCAATGACAATGCCCCTCAGTTTTCTCAGGCAACCTACGTGACCCAGGCTCTGGAGAACAGCCCAGTAGGGTCTCTTATTGCTAAAGTCTCTGCAGGAGATGTAGACTCTGGAGTGAATGCAGATATATCCTATTCATTTTTTGATGCTTCTGAAGATGTTCGAACAACCTTTCAAATCAATCCATTTTCTGGGGAAATCATTCTCAGAGTGTTGCTTGATTATGAGCTAGAAAGGTCTTACAAAATAAATATACAGGCAATTGATGGTGGGGGCCTTTCTGCAAGATGTACAGTTTTGGTTGAGGTTTTGGACACCAATGACAATCCCCCTGAACTGATCATGTCATCACTTTCCAACTCTGTTGCTGAGAACTCTCCTGAGACAACAGTGGCTGTTTTTAGGATTAAAGACAGAGACTCTGGAGAAAACGGAAAGATGGTTTGCTACATTCAAGATAATCTGCCGTTTCTTCTGAGACCCTCTATGGAGAATTTTTACATCCTAATGACAAAAGGAGCCCTGGACAGGGAAAGACAAGCCGAGTACAACATCACCATCACCGTCACCGACATGGGATCCCCCAGGCTGAAAACCCAGCACAACATAACCCTGCTGGTCTCCGACGTCAATGACAACGCCCCCGCCTTCACCCAAACC